AAATCAAACGACCCCAAAAGAGCATTCAAGAATTTGTCCTGCTTGCTCAACCTGAAAGAAACCTCTAAATTTCAAAGCGAAAGCTTCGACTGCAAGGAGTTGAAAGGGCTTGCAGGATTGTACTTCAGCAGCCGGGCCGGACAGGGGTGTTGGCTTTGGGGGTTCAAGGGGTTCCAACAGTGATCGGCTTGGTGCATGGGGGTCCCAGGATGGTCCCTGGACCATTGTGGACCGCACGTTTCCGGCAAAGGGTTGGATCCAAATGGAGGGGGGGCGGGACCCTTGGACGCCCAACGTCTATTCAACTCCGCGCGTGCTCGTTGTTTCTTGCTCCCGAAAAACTTTCTGGCGTTGGCTTCTCGTTTGATGCTTCAATCCGGCGTGCTCTCGGATCGCGTCCTGACGGAAGATGAGGACGCGGAGAAGGTCAACGGAGGGTTGAACGGAATGGTTTTTGACGGGGAAGCCATAAGGAAATGGTCAAGCGGAAGGTCGGAACATTTTGACTGGAGAGGGGCGTGGAGTGGGGGGGACCATTGGGGGGGGGCCCGACGCGCGATTGACCAAGGACGGAGGGCTAGGGAGCGAGATAGCCCGTTCTCGGGCGGGGAGCGGGTTGTGCTTGGACAGGGGTTCAAAGTGCGATGCCAAGTTGACAGGGGGGAGGCGTGGACACTCTGCGGCACGGCCTCCGCTAGGGTCCTTGGATTTAGATTTTGCCTTGGCAGTGTCGTTTTGGGGGACCTGCAAAAACGTCCGGTGTTCTAGACGCCTCTCGGCAGGAAGCCGAGGCGAAAGCTCCGGAATCCATGATGTTGCGAAGGCACTGCTGATTGACAAAAAAGATCCTCAATCTTTGTAACAGTGTTCGACTGTTGAATATCCGAAAAATAGGATTGCGTCGGATTCTGTGGCCCCGAAATTCCTTCCGGCTTTTTGTTTGTCAAGCTCGGTTTCTAAGGGGTTTTGAATACATCATTACTCCCTGAAGAAAACATAAGCAAATACACAACTGAAGAAATCGGAGCTACTGGTCTTCTTTGAAATGCAGCACTTGCAAATAAAGTGCAGATTTGCAAAGCAGACAAAAAAGCTAGAAGCCAAACGGGCCTACACGACTGAGTCCCATAGTTCTACATTGTACATATGACTGCAGTGGCTGGATCTCTGCCGATAACTGCTGCGTTGGGCTGAGAGCTCCGGAGATCTAGGTTTAAGGTTTTGACTGCGGTTTGCGTGCCTCAGCTGTTGTCGCGATCCGGGCTGGACATGTCGTCAGCTTACAGTATCACTTTAGGATTCCGTGACGTTGGGCACTAGCCCGACATCAAGCCCAAAAGAGACAGGACGAATCCTTGTTCTGTCGTGGACGAGCGGAAGATGGACAACAACGAGTCTAGGGTCTAGAGGCAAGTTGAGTCTGTACGAGCATGACAGGACAGGTCTTTTGGCTACTCGCACATAATGATTGTGCTTCACCCACTCGTCCGTGTGAGCTACTGTACAGAAATAGAATATTGCAGAGCGGCACCGGGATCATGTGTTCATTTTCGGGTTTGTCCGGATGTACAATTCCCAAAAACGAACCATGAAGCACCGTGCTGTGACACTCTGTTGCCGCCCAAGCTGTCTGCTTCTTTCCAGCCTCGGCCTTCTTGTGACGTGCCACTGCGCAGCGGACGGCAAAGGAGGCCACAGCTAAATTCAGCGAGCTTTTCCTGCCCCCTCAAATCGGTAGGAACCTGGGCAGGCCTGCTTTCCAAAATCTGCAGCGCCTCGTAGAGCAATTCGTCAGAGAGCTCGACTCAGTTAAACAACCGCATTCCTTTCGGTGCTGCGCCTGACTACATTCTCGCCATACTTCACGGTGCTCTACCTTATGTCTCGCTCTACTTCCGGCACACGTTGCTGAACTCTGTCGAACCATCTAGAGCAGTTGGACGAAACGGGGTGCAAGCAACAGCGTCATTCCGAGCAAGACAGTGGCAAGAGGCTGGAGGACAAAAGGCTCAGGGGTAACTCATATTGCTATGTGTGACACAAGCCTTGAGCTCTCTACGAAGAGCTCCACAGGTCAGCTGCTGCTTGTGCTTTTTCTCGCTGTGGGAGGCGTACTCAACGCGAAGGGCTATACCATTCCATCAAAGCATGTTCAAGGAATTACTCCGCCTTTATCGCCATTGAGATTATGCCATCAGAAGAGAGTGCAATAAGTACTTAATGTCGAAGCAGCTGCATGAAATGAAGTTTAAAGGCGGGGCTTTGGGGTTGAACGAGGCCATGCGGAACACCACCAGAAATATCAACAAAGGCAAAGGCATGAATTCTAAGATTGATACGTCTACGACAATCCAACCCAGGGCTGGGGTGCTCATTGCACCCCCCGCCCCACCCCCCGTTGTTGAATAATGCCACTCTTGCAGCAAGCACTCCAGCACATTCCTGGCGCTGAGAAGCGGGGCTGGTTCTGCTGTGGAACACGATCTGAGGGCAATGCTAGAGCTTGTTACTTGTTTTGTCTTGGGGCAGTACACGCAGAATCGTGGGAGCGGCTACACCTGCTGAGCTTTGCTGCCACCACAACCACCACTTGCACCGTCATGACGACGAGGGTACTACTCCATCTAGGCCACACGCTCTCACTATCCAATGCCGAATGCCAAGTGTAGGCTTGCAAGAACCCAATCTCGGTAGGTCGACCGCTGCGCACAAATTCGCGCACATCCATGCTGTCTATAGGGTTTGTTGGGAAGCCCGCGGTTCTCAGAATTTCGGCGGCTTTGACTATGACATGCATGTTCACATTTTTCGCACAGTTTATGCGAATCGCCACAGATGCTTTGATGTGGAACCAGTCAGAGACACGCTGGGGCTGCGTTGGGCTGTGTTGAATGATTCTTGGCACGTTAGTGCACTCGGTTGAATTCAGGAGTCTCAGGGTGCAATTGTTGACCTTTGATTCCGTTCCACCTCTGAACACGTTGCATCCGGTAGCAGCAAGCGGTGAGACGAAACACGGCGGGCTTGGTCATCGACTAAACAGCCACGGAACTGTTGCTCAAAGATTACTTTGGCCAGATGTTGGCCAGAGGAGAAACACTATACGCAAGTCTCCCCCTTTCACAGAGAACAGATCGATTTCTTTGGACTCTGCGCAGTCCGGCCGTAATGGTTCCCTAACCATCCCTCTCGCTGCCGTTTGTCTGGGGCGGTAGTGCCAAAACGCGCAGCGTCCAAAACCCAAGTCAAGAAGGATAGAACATTTGACGGATAAATTATTGGCAGGACCGTCCTCGAAGAACCCTTCAGGCCAGCTCTTCTCGATCAACACTTGCGGCTTACAATGGTCTACCATGATCTACCATGGTTTACTGCCTCAGGGATGCCCCCGCTGCCACACCCCCAAAACCTCTCTAACGGTGCCTGCTCCTAGGCGTTGAACCCCATGATCCCAAACTCCTAAAGCCTTCAAAAGGCAACACTTCGAGTTTTCCAGTCCAGAAAGCGTGGCAGCGTCGCGATGTTGTCCTGATGTTAAGAAATGGGTGGCACGGCGACGAAGGGCCCCGCATCCAAGGTCTAGGAGTTCGGGATTCTTTACCATGAAAATGGGTTTGCTAGTGGAGCAGTCTGGCAGAAGAATGCACAAATTCATCAGTTCTCACAACAACACATGGGAAGCATTTATCGACAGTTCCTAGACTTAGATTCTTCGGGGGAAAGGTCCTGCGGAGCAGAAAAGCTCGGTGATTTAAATCATTTGCCTCAGCTTGTTGAGGGAAGCTGGGTCGGTGAGTGATCCAGCAAGCGGCAAGAAGCCAATGCACGCTCAGATGTTTGGTGTATGTCCTTCGAAGGGCAGACAAGCTGGGAGTCTGGGAGTCTGTGAGTTGCGGATTTGGAGCTGTGCAGGCTTAGGGCTATGGCAAGGCTAGAATTCAGCTCTGAAATCGACTCAAAACGCGCAGCCCAGTGTGCAGCCCCAATGCTGTAAGCCCTGATCTAGAATTCAAGCCATTGGATAGGAGTCCAGGCTTGATCCTCAGAGGCCTGAGACGAACAAATGCACGAAGCCACCACCCAAAGGCCCAACATGCTTGAACATGCGTTCCTGCCGCGTTTTCGCGACACTGAACGGGACCTTGGCGAGAGCACAATTTCGAACAGAATGTGCACAGGACTGAGGCGAGGGCGGAGATTTAGCACCCGCCGCAAGGCCAAAACCATGCTATTTTGTGTTGGGACACCTCCCGACTCTTGCATTGCAGCGCACAGCGCTAATGTGAGAGTGTCACAGGCCGAGGACACACCGAGAAGGCCAATAAAGACACACCGAGAGGGTCGTCGGTTCGACCTGTTTGAGGGTGGGTCCGGCCAGCGATGTAATTCTCTTTCCCGCAAGCAGTGGGGAAACACAGGGCCTAGGGATGTAGGGTTCTTGCCCTGGTTTCCGGATGTGAGCCCGCACTCCCACTCCTCGCAGTTCAAAAAGCAAAAGGCCCTAAAGCTGACCCCAAGCCGCTCAAACACCGAAACCCTTGCTTGATTCCTCCACCCCGAAGCCCGAGGTTGGAAGACTTACAGACCTGAGCATCGCCCGGGTTGAGGGTTGCGGGTGGCTTCTGCAACAACACCCCGGGGTCAGTTGACACAGGTCGACCTTGTTCGACTATGTCCTAGTAGGTCCCGTGCGCACTCCGTGCTCGAAATCGTGCTCCCTGCCTAGGTCCTGTGCGCTTTTTCAGGGCCCACAAACATCAAGAGGTAGGTGTCCGAGGTCCCGTGCGCATGTATTCGATATCATGCTCCCGTTTTTAAGAGGTATTCTTTGAGATGCGCTTTATTGCAATGGTCTTGGAGTGGTCTTGGCATGCTCTTGGTGTACACTCTCGGGTTGCTTGTGAAGTCTTGCACTGTTTGGGGGTCTACGCCGGCATGAGTTTAAAAGGCCCAACCCCACCTTTCACCCGCGAAAGGACCTCGAATCGCCAAGTGCCCAGTCACGCCGGCTCCTGCCAACGCATGCTCTCAAGATGAGTTCTAGGCTGTTGGGGCGCTGCATATTGCTTTGGACCATGGTGGGCTTGGATGCTTGGGTCTTTGGGAATTTTCAGTCCTTTAGGGCTTTAATGCTCATTGCTGAAAATCCCCGGTTGCCAGTGCTGGCTATGACAAACCAAAATTCTGTCAGGAAAGGTAGTCTCACCCACAGAGGCGTCGGAATTATCCCGGGCCAAGCCTTATCCGGATCACAAGATGGGTTGAACAATGTTGAAAAATAGGACCCTCATTCGCGCTGCAAGATGCAAACTGGGCGCTTCGAGCCTTGATGGTCTTCCTGGTATGCGGGTTTGCGGGTTGACTGTGTCTTAGTTCAGGTTTTCGCTTCCCATTCCCCCGCTTCTCTCGAGGCACAGTCCGGGAGCCTAGGAGTGGTTCAAACACGGATGGCGCAACAGAAATTGACAGCGAATACAGCTGACCGCTCTGCCCAACCTTGCACCTTCGGACGGCCCTGTTTGCACCTGGACTGCTTCGAAACACTGTTTTGAAACACCAGACCCTTAGGTTCCACACGTACAACACCCACCGGACCGTTAGACCATTAGAAACCTTTTGGCCAGTATGTATTCGAAGCCAGTTGGGTGATGGGATCCGTGCTTGCACAGGCGATCCTCCGCGATGTCCAAGATAAACTGGGACACTTCCTCGGTGAGGAGGTCCTGCGGTACCAAGATGGCCTACACCTGGAACAGAGGGCTTGCCTTTGGGCAATGCCCTGAACCTCGGTAATTCGTTGGTCAAAAGGGCATAGCAGCTCTGCCTACTGCGACGACTCACTGAAACCAGTCTCGAGGCTACTTCTCATTGCATTTCAGAGCTGGGCATCTTCGACCTCTGTAACTTAGCAATCAACCGTTTAACCACCCTCTATCCAAACTATGTATTGATCTCCTCGCCCGTTCAACGAAGGCCTTCGCCTCCAGCCCCAAAAGCCAGAACCCCAAGAATGTACATGGCTCAAGGCATGGTGGTCATTAAGTTTCGCCCCGCTTCCGACACCATGAGGCAAAACCAGGGTTGGGAGAATAACCTGATTTGGACGCCAACGGACACGGTCGCTGATTGCAGAAGTCGAGTAGGCAGACGGGAGATCTGGCAAAAGCATCGAATTTGGGCAAGTGTGCAGATACAGTTGGACACGTCGCGATACCGCGATTGTCGGTTTTCTGATCGCTTTGGAGACTTTCTTGCGAAGTCGGGAAGCGTTACTTTCAGAGTTCCTGGGTTTTTAAACCACTGGCTCGGCATCCCTCAACCCACCTAAGCTGTCTAGAAACATGGAGTCCTTGTGCTGGAACAGATCGTGAGTGCCCCCGGCCAATTCCAAATGCCGCTTGTCCTTGCATCGCAGGGCCTGCGCAACTTAGGCTGTTAAGTATTTTAAGGCTTTTAAGGTTTTCTTAGATTTTATGCTAGGGCCGTACACGGCCATCCGAATCAAGTGTGATTTAGCAAGGTGCGGATTTCGACGCCGTATCGAGATGTCATGCAGCTGACAGGCAAGTGCGCTTTGCGCCACCTGTGCCGGAAAGGATTCTTAATCGATGGGACTCCCATCCTCACATGAGGACATTGTTGAGCCGAGGGCATCTCACATGTTTGAAGGGCATGGGCGAAGACGACATCACTCTGGGAACGCAGTGATTTCGTGCACTGTGGCAAGTTGTCCATGAAACTCTAATTAGGAGGCTGCCTTGCTGAGTACAATCCTGCCCGGCGGCATATGCGTGCCAAGGCCTTAAAAAGCTTCTTCGTGGATCTTGGCTTCACCACCTGCGCATTTAGAATTAAGGCATGAGGTTCGGGCCTCAAAGATGAAGGGTCTTAGGGTCTCTAAGTTTAGAGATGCTGCTGCGATTATAGTTGACGGTGCTTTGGTGCACTGCTGGGATCATCTCGACTGATATCATACCCTGAGAATCTAACAAAGGGCCTCTTGTCGAGCAGCAACCCTTCAGAAGGAGTTCAACATGTTTCTTGGGGTTTGTTTAGGGTTTAGACCAACATTTGGCCTTGATCGAGACCCCAAGCTCCACGTACTGTGCAAGCTCCCCATACTTTGTGCTCTTGGGGGAGCTCAGGCTTGGGCTCTACATCTTGAACCCACCCCAAAAAAAGAGGCCTCATCCGCATCGCCACTGACAAGGAGTGCTTTCAAAGGGACGAGAGCCTTTTGCACATCCGCCGCGACCTGGCAACGAACACTCGGGCACTTGGCAGCCGAAACTTGTAGGTATTGGTGTTGCTTGGAAGCCAAAGGCCCTAGGACCAATTCCTAGAGGGCTTATCTGACTCTCCCTGTGAGACTAGTGTGAGCACGCCTATGGCTTGCGTTTTGTAGCTCAAAGTAGGTGGCACGGACGGAAGGCATTCTTGCGAGCTTCAAGACTGAGGGCGTGCATTTGGAAAGTCGTTGCATGCGTAGTCTATGTGCAGCGTGGCCAGAGTGAGTCTGAAGAGATTAGGCAGGCCTCGCTGTCTCTCTCTCTCTCTCTATCTCTCTCTCTCTCTATCTCTCTCTCTGCTCTCTCGCCGCTCTCTCTCCGCTCTCTCTGCTGTCTCTCTCCTCTTCTTCTTCTTCTTTTTTGAAAAACGTGCTGCAGTTAGTCAACGAGTGGGTCGTTCTGTTTGACGACTCCCACCACTTCTCAGGATGTGATTGTATGTGAGTCAGCTATCGAACTGGGCCCTCAACTCGCCAGGCCATAGGAAATAAGTGTGAAAGTACATGGGAAGTGTCCCCATCAGGGCACTTAAAGCCGGACCCCCTGAAACAAAACCACGCCGTGACCCCAAACCGCCAACAAAACACGAAGCCTTCACCTTGCCCCCGCGTGGCTTCACTGTTACGGTGCAATCGCCAGGGCTTCTTGCACTCGTCGGCTGCGTTGACTCAGCCCAGCCCTGTGGTGACTACTGGGTCCCCTCACGTGGCCCCCAGGTCTCGTAGTGGCTCTCTCCCTTTCTTGCGAGTCTTCCACGCAGTGATGTCGTTGTGGCACACCTCCCTCTCTTGCAGGTCCTCGACCTTGACTTCGACCATCGGCTCGTCCTCGTCTCCCTGGTTGGTGGTGCTCGTTGGCTTGCCCCCCTGGGTGTCGACATTGTTTGGTTGAAGGTTTCTGAGCGAGCTCATGAAGACACTTCAATTGACACGTTTCCAGTTTTAGACATATCAATTGTCACCTCTCCCTCTCCCTCTCCCTCTCCCTCTCCCTCTCCCTCTCCCTCTCCCTCTCCCTCTGCTTACTTGAAATGCGAACGGCTTGGAGGACCTCCCAGTTGTTCACCGGGGCGTTCAAAGTACAAAGACCTGCACGGATTCAACTTAAGAAGTTGCAGGTGTAGGGCTTCGGGTGTCTGGGTGTTGACCGGTCACACAGATTTGAGCCCAAATTACCGCATGTTTCGCTACTTCCAAAGCCCGTGCGGGTTTGAGCTTAGTGTTGGGGCTCAGGCTTGAGGTTTCTTGTTGTTTAGACGGGTTCATGCCCCGAGCCCAGAACCAGATTCAGGTGCCGAATTCAGCTGGGAAGACTATGCAGAGGTTTGAAGTAGGAACCCTCCTTCCCAACTCAAAGCCCGGCTGCGGAGCGGCATGAGGTTAGGGCTTCATGGGCTTCAGGGTAAAGCCTGTCAGGCTGTGAGTTCAATGAGTCCCAAAACTCAGAGTTAGGGCTTTGAGCTCCAGGTTTAGGGGTTCAGGGTTTATCTAGATCCCCCCGGCCAAGATTGGATCGTCCTCCCCCCCCTCCCCCCGAGATAACATTGCAGGTGCTGGGTTGTTGCACGCTCACGAAGCTTGTATGCCCGCATTTCCGCCCAAATTTAGGGTATCTGCTCACCAAGCTCCCTGTGCGAAGCAGCCGTACACAGATTTGTGGCAAGCGCTTGATGCCGCCATCGCACATCCCGCCGAAAGTCTTCGGGGTGGTTGCGCGTCACCCGCTGAGAACACGTATCCCTGTCACAGTGACTGATAGTGCAACACAGCTTCGGCTCCCATGGAACAAGCTTGTGGTATTACTTCTTGGGAAGCTTAGCTGGAAACTTTTATGAGGGAGCTAGTCTCGATTGTGTGGCCGGTGAAAAACAACCCTGCATGAACGCTTCGTGGGCAAAACATGTCATTCGCAATCGTTCCCCTTCAAGCCCCAACAGTCAACACAACTTGTCAGGGTGGTCCAGCTCCCGTAAACTTAAGTATTTCTTGGGAGAGCTCCCTGTGCAAAAGCATTCTGGGGGAGCTCGCGGGACCCGCATGACATCCAGAACAGCGAGGCTGTGCATGGCCTCCTCAATTTCTTTTGCATCTCAGAGGGCAAATGCAGTCGAGCGTGTCTGGGTATCGGCCGAGAGCACGCGCTCCGCAGACATAAGTTCAACGCACACGGAGCTACATGAGGAATATGCCGTGTATGATGTAGCCACCTGGCTTGACCCCGAGCTGCGCTAGTCAGGTTGTGAGTAGGAGTGGAGTGTTGCTAAGTATCTTCAGCCAAAGCTGCATTTCCTCAAATGTCTGTTGCCTTTCGTAGCTTTAGCGGATGCTCTGCGACTCTTGTGCAGCCGAGCTCATCCTTGCTAGATCCTGAGGCTGAAAGATGCTGAGAGCACCAAGAGCCCCCTATTTGCCCAAGCTTGTCACTTCGCCACAGCTGCCCAGCTGCAACGAGTCAACGCGTGCCTGCCCAGCATGGATTTGCCGAATGTTTCTGAGGGCGTGGTCGTGGGGTTGTGCAGCTGTGCGGTACTTTGCTACGAGGTCTGGACCGAGAGGATGCCAGAAAACCCCTTACCCCTAGCTGGGAACTCTTGCGCCGTAAAGGCTAGCTAGTGGCCTTCTGTTCTCAGGCGCTCGTGTCCAGCCCCCTGTGCCCCCCTCCCGCCTCCGCTTGGCCACTTTAGCTTGCTCGGATGCAATTGTTGTGATGTAGACTTCCTTGAAGTCTGGGCCAAAGGCATACCTGCGAGCTTCACAGGGCCCTCCTCGCTCCTTGGCTGCCTGAAGAGTGCCCTGGACCCCTTAACACCCCACAGCGCTGGACACCTAAGAGTAAACCCTGGAGCCCCAATTGTAAAAAGCTCAAGCTCTAACCCGCACCGTGCAGCCCCAAGCCCTATAGAGGCCCTCAGTCCAAGAACGCCCGTAAGACGCCGCCCTCAAAAACCCTTCACACCTAGACCTCCACTGCGAAGGTCTGCAAAGTGTCGGTCTTAACTCTGGGTCTGGAATGTCTGGAAGCTGCGAAAGCTGCGTCCGACACAGGCGGGCCACTGGCGAAAGGTCGCACCACCGAGCCCCGTGACTCCTGGAGGTGTGTTCTGGATCCTTCTAGGGTTCTTCGGGCCTGTGGATTCTGGGTTCTCTTCGGGTCGAGGAGTTTAGGGGTTAGCACCTTTGGGTCGGAAGCCGAATCTTGGAATTGGTTGCCTAGCGCGAGTGCAAGTTTCAGCATTCTAGGAGGAGGAGCTTCAAGCTCAGGGCCCAAGGTGATCCAAATACGCTCAGAGCATCGAGTTTAGGAGATCTGCAAGTCCAGAGGATGCGACCGAATCAGTGTCATGATGCGCCACTTTTGGCTGGTACTCTCGGGCCTGGCCTCGTTTATTCAGGTCTCTTGATAATCTTAAGTCTAAGGCTTGGAGTTCACAGCAGCTGGCACGGATAAGAACTTGCATGCGTTGTGGTGACTTCGTGCATTGATCTGTCTGTCAGTGCGGTGGGAGCAGCAGGACAAACGGGGAAATTAGAGCTCAGGCTAACTGTGCATGTGCGATGTCAGCCGCCAAATGCCCAACCTTTCCTTATAAGCACGCAGACCGAAGCGGTAGAATAGCCGACCCCCGTGCAATGATGACCTACGCAATAATAGCCATGAAGTTCTCCTTGCCCTGCCCTGTTCCAGGTGGTCTACCTGGGGAAGCCCTCAACCTGGTACCGATTTCCTCATTTCCTCTGTCTTTGACTTTTTTGGGGGACGTGTGACCGCTCCGACACGAGCTGGCTGGATCGGCCAGAGGTCGTCCCTCAGCAAACTTGCGGGTTGTCGTGACTGTTTCTACTGCATTTCTACTCCACTTCTACATCCTTCTACGCGGTCATGCGGAGTGGTACCCGGGTCCGCCCCGCACTTCTATCTCTGTAGAATTACCAGACTTGTCCATCAAGCTTTTTGGCCTCAGGAGTCCTGAGACTCTGAGGCCTTCGAGAGCCGTGGGGGCTTTTTGGGTGGCCTCAAAGCGAATGTGTGGGGAAGAGTTCGAGGCTCTGGAAACAATTCGGGAATCTTCTCGTGTATGCAAGCTCCGAAGGCACAGAGACAGCACATCGACGGAAAGCCACGTAAACTTCTTCACTCTCAGGCCATGACGAGTGGCTCCCATCGGCTGACCTGGATTAAGGCAAGCGGTGATTGCGGATCTGAATCTCCCTTGCTTAGATTTCTGGCTATGAAGGGCTGAGCGCTTGGGCTTCAATGTTGCAAGTCTCCCACAAAGATTCCGACCTTTGCGGCTCTTCAGGTTCTCAGGCACAACATGTACAACCCAACCTCTGCTTTCAAGCTATTCTTTGCTGTTCTGCATACTTACGCATATGTCTCCATTCCTTGTAAAGTCTGATCCGCTCAGCTCCTCAGCTCCTTCAACGCAGCCACCTAAACAATGTGCACCCATGGTGGAACTGCTTGTGCCCCCGATCCGCTACACAGACGGTGAAAGATGTTGACAGACTCTGTCTGGCATACGTAGCCCAAACATCCCCCAAACACTGCGCGACTCAGTGCGGGAGCGGTTGAGCCGCGCACCTATTTGCAGCTCACTTTCAGAGTGTTGAGGAGGCTCCTGTGGCTGAGAGTGTGGCGCGCCTCTTACGTCTTCCTCTCACAAAAGGGTTCAGGCGGTTCAGGGTTTGGAGATGTTCCGCGAGTGAGACACTATCTACTTGAGATTGTGCCGCAAATTTCCGCCTTTCGCAAGCAGAACTCAAGAGCTTGTTACACTTACTCCAAACGGTGCCGGACGGACATGACATCTGAAACCCTGCGGATCCCTGTCGGAGGGCCAAGAGGACAAGTCAGTACTATGTGACCCAGATCGACCCAGCATGCCAAGCATGATGCTCCTGCGCAGGCATGCTTAGTCGAGGAAAGTCTCCACGCGCTACAGACCACAGCCCGAACACACCCAAACCCAACACCACCTGAGCACCCCGCAAACCTAAGACCCAACCCATCCAAACTTTGCAAACTAAGGCCCGAATCCCCGATTTCGAAGCCACAAAGAGAGATTGGTGCCTGGGCTTGCGCCAGCTGTGTCAGCCCCTCCAGGGCTTCCCTACGGACCTGGAGATGGGGATACCATGGGAAAGCCAAGACGGCTCAAGGGACAAAAGTTGGGGCCCAAAGGGCCTTTGGGTTGAACCCTTGCCCAAGAGCAGAAAACGCCGGTGCACACAAGTAGCGACCCCTTACTCTTGAACGCTGAGTCCCAAACCACCTATAAGTCTCAACACCCAAAACAATCTCAAAGGTACAGTCTCAAAGGTTGCAAAAAACCCTAAAGAGCCGAAAGTCCCAACCCTAAGCTCGAAGTTTTTCAGCCCTGTAGCCCTGGCCTCCAGAAGGCGCTGGTGGACGTTCCGCTGGTCCTCAGCCTGCCCAAGGCAGAAGAGGGGGCTTTCTCAAGTACTTCAGGGCTGTAAGGTTTTGGGAGTCGGGATTGAGTCAAGGTGTAGGTGCAATTTAAGGGTACCTGGAGGCTGAGCATTATCAGAGGAATCTCATGGGACCTAGCAGTGTTGAATTCTAAGGATGATCGATCACCCCTTGCGGCAACCTCTGGCTGAAAAGGTGCTGTCAAGAGCTCGCACAACCGAAGCTCCAAACCACGTCTGTCAAGACTCCTTAGCACGCGCGCTTGGACACGAGTTGGGGTCCTGGATCAGAAGCTGACGTCCTTGTCCTGAGACCATCTCCTTCACGTAAGTAAGGTTCAGACTGCAGAGCAGCGAAACTGTGAATCCTAACCTTGTCCATCCTCAGCCTTCCAAAGCAAGAGGTTGACGTTCCAAGCGCTCCTCGAGCTTCCCAACGCGGGTGCTCAGCCTTGGCAGTCATGGAGAATCGCATTCCTTGAAGCATTTAGCAGACTCAGCCACTCCAATCTTCATGTCGCCATCGTATTAGGGGCATCATCAGAACGTTTTGCATCTATGCTTGGCTGTAGTCAAATGTCATAAACGCACAGACACTGAACTACTAAATCCTGATTCTTTGAACGCAGGAGGGTGCTATCGCAGCGGACACAGTG